GCTTCAGATAGAACAGTGCAATTGCTAAAACATGGTGTTTGGAAGCAAGAATCCCCCGTTCAAGTCCTACCTTGGTCAGGAAGCTCACTGGGAGGCTTTTACAACCCCCCATCACTCAAGACTGACATCTCCTGTCACCTCATATCATGAGGCTAAAATTCTGCTCCCTGGCAAAAAAAAGATGCAGCACAGATTTGGAGACACTGCTGGGAAAAGGTGCTGTTCAGCTTCCCGTTTTCCATTGGCATGGTGCTCTCTCTTGATCAAGACTCACCTGCCCCTCTTCCAAGGTCACCAACTGCGGGTTTGGAAATACCAGGAGATTTGAGGGTCGGGCCTGGGAGACGGGCTTAGGGAGGGGACGGACCCCGGTGGGGAATCGTATCATGCAGTCTACCTTCCAAAGCAGCCATTTTCTCCAGGAGAAGTGAAACAAATTTGTCAAAGTAATAAATTAATAAGCGATTTATGCGATCTGGAGATCAGTTGTAATTCCAGGAGATCTCCAGCCCCCACCTGAAGGCTGGCAACCCTACTCTCCCATCCCCCCCCAATGGCCCTGCTCCCAAACTAGCAGTAATGAGGTGAACTAAAAAAATAATAATTATGGCAACTGGAGATATTGTTCTGCCTGATAACTGAATCACTGAAGCATAACCTAATGGATGTGATTAAACCAGACCCTCCCCATTCAATGGAAATCCACACTTGGGATTACCGTGAATTTCTCCCACAAAACTGAACAAATGTAATGGTTTCATTCGTGGCACGCAGGAGGCAAAAGCAGGCTGGAAACCACATCATGTGCATAAGTGAAACTGTGAGTCATGCACCTGTGAATGGGAAGGGTCTACTCCATTCCTGTTGTCCTTTTGGCCAAATGACCAAATCAGAATTAAAGCAGGAGGAGGCAACACTTCCATGGTCAGAGAGATTTTATCTGAGCCACATCCAGTGAAGAAGCTGCTGCGGCTGATATTGCTTGCAGCCTGATTCTGTCCCATTGAGTTTCATGGGGCTTACTCCCAGGTGAGTATGCACAGGATTGCAGCTTTAGTCCTTATATAGCCACCTTGTTGAGCCTGCAGGCACATTTGGAATTCTGACATGGTAAAGTGGGTTCAGCAACAAAATGGCTGCCACAAAATGGCTGCCACGGGAGGCGGAGCTAGCCACAAAACGATGGTCACAGCTTAACTTCAGTCACACAGTGAAGATCCTCGTGCTGTGGTGGCAGCGGCTGACAAAGCAACGTTTTTAAAAATCTGCACAGTCAATCAGAAGCCTTGCTGAGCAGATGCCCTACCTGGCCCCACCCAGTTCCTAAAAAAACACTCGGTGGGTGCTAGAAAAGGTGTCGGCGGGGACCCCTGTTATATAGCATTTTAGATTGTCTAAACCCATGTACTATACTGTCATCCCCAAATGGTAGATGCTGGGTGCAGGCTTAGCTAACTAACGAAGGCTTGGCTGTGATTTGACTTGCTTGCTCCTAGGTAATTATCTTAACCGCAATATTACATTAGTCCACCATCTAACAGAATGATCATCATTGTTCACTTATAAATTCATCACACAGGAAACTGGACCTTCAGGGTGCTTTAATGATTCTAAGGGTTACTATCCTGCAATCCACACAGTGGTGGCACCTCAGGGCTCTCCCATGTGGCAAGTCTTTGCCAGCTTGCCGATCCTGTTTCCACAAAACCCGGGCAGATTGTGACACTGTCTTAGACTCCAGTGAAGAAATACCTCAGTATTAACATTAGCAAAATGTCCTAAGTTATAATGATACAGATCTCCAGATTTCCCTTTCTTTGGGGTGGATCCTTCCAGCTTTTTCATTGGTGCAAGAGGAAGGAGGGTTCTCTTTTTGACCCTTGAAAAAGCTGTGCTGGGGAAATGCATGCAGAAAAAGCCATGCAGGATGGGGCTGTAGTGAGGAAGGGAAGTGGGCGAGAGTTGCTCCTCTTGCATCAGTGGACAAGTCAGGAGGACACAGCCCTTATTTTCTTCTCTTTCCTTTGCTATGCCTTTAATTTCCTCCCGGTTTTTCAACCAGTGTGTGTGTGGGGGGGGGGGCTGAATCGTCGCCACCATGATCCACACAGCTTCCGTTAAGTGTATTTATAAACCTAGTTCGGTGGTCGTTCATAATCCTTCTATATTGGAGTATTCCTGCCTTTGAGGCATGATATAATTGGGAATGCCCAAGCTGTGAATCAGAGGGCTATATTGGTCAGCTACTTGTCAGATTCCTCTATCAGACATAACTAGATCCCCTTTCACGTTGCAGTAGTAAAATATGCAGTAACATTTCTTTTGCTGTTTTTTTTTTGGGGGGGGAGAATCACGCCGGCCTTTTTTGACACTCGTCCTGCCGACGCGGGTTCCCCTTTTTCTCATGAAGCCCCACTTTCCCTTCTGCTGCAGGCCTGAAAGCTCGGGCCCCTGCAGAACAGCGAACCCAGCTTGGTTCTTATTTTTGTTTGTTTGATATTATGAGATCTGAAGGCAGGCCTGGGGAGCATGCTGGGAGGACAGCCGCCGAGCAGAACAAAGCAGCCTCTCACACGGAAACTGTGAAAAGCTCCGGGACCTGGAAGGTCATGAATGAAAGAATCTGCAACCCACACGGCATCAGATTTAACTTTTCGAGCAAAGTAGCAAAGGCACCAATCCCTAATGAGGAGAACTGAAATTCCGCTTGCCTGGGAAAGGGCAGTTGCACATTACAAACAGCTTCCCCAAATCACTCCCATGCCATGCACACTAGAGAAATTAGACCTTCATTTGTTGTAACTTGAAGGGCACCCCATTCGACTCTCATACGAAACAATGGGCTGAATGTGTCCTACTACAATTCTGGGCAAGGCTTGCATTGTTGGGGAGGGGCTGTCTAAAGCCAGCTTTGGAATTAGGGTTACCAGGTCCCCACCCACCCCCGACCACCAGCGGGGGATGGGGGCATAGGGTTGCCAAACCCAGTTTGAGAAACTCCTGGAAATTTGGGGATGGATCCTGGGGAGGACAGGGATTTCAGTGGGGCACAATGCCATAGAGCCCCACCCTCCAAGGCTGTGATTTTCTCCAGGGGAACTGATCTCTGCAGTCTGGAGATGAGCTGTCATTCCGGGGGATCCCCAGGTCCCACCTGGAGGCTGGCATCCCTATTTGGAATCTTCGCAAAACTGGAGGCGAGATGCCTTCACTTTCAGCTCCCCCTTCTCTCTCCAAGATTCCTGCGATGACAGAAACCCTGAAAGACCTATATATGGGAGTCTTGGGAAGTCTTGTTTGGAGGGAGAGTAGGTGGCTGGTTGGGGGTCAGCAGGCCCATAGCCAGAATGTTTGAATTGGGGGGGGGCTTTAAATAAGTCAGGGGGCACCCCGAACACATTCCTGCACCCCCTCAAAGGAGTGCCTGGGCTGGATGGGAAGTCGGGGGCCTTGGCGGTAAGTCAGGGGGCCAGGCCCAGAGATGCCCCACTGTAGCTACAGGCCTGGGGGTCAGAGGTGCCATCAGGCTTCAGGGCAACCGCAAACAAACCAACAACCTCGAGGAGGAGGAGAGATCCAAGGAGGTCCCCTTACCTGGTAGATCATGACTTTGAAGTTCCTGCGCTTCAGCAGCTCTGCCTCGTTCGATTCCAGCTTCTTGATCTGCCCGCCTTGCTTCTCCAGGTTTTGCCGGACGGTCTTCACGTTCACGCTGACCTTGCGGACCTTCTCTAGCATCTTGTTGACGGTGTTGCTGGTGGTAGAGTGGGCCTTGGTGAGCTTGGCCAGCTCCCCTTGGATGCTGGCCACCACCCCGTCCATCTCCTGCTGCCTCTCCTCCAGCTGACTCTGGGTCAGCTGGATCTGGTCGACAGCCCCGATGATCTTGTCCAGGAGAGTGAGCACCATGACGCCGTTGATCTGGTCCGACTTGATGGGCTCCTCGCTGGCGGGCTCCTCAGAGGCCTCGGAGGCCGCGGGCTGCTCGACGATCTGGAGGGCGGTTTCTGCCATGATTGCTCCGGGGGTCCCGACTGAGCAGAGCCTGGAGGAGTCTGTCACCAGAGGGTCAAAGAAGAAGAAGAGGGGAGGGCGGGAGAGAACCGGAGATCTCTCAGAGCCGGGAGGCCAGCCAGCAGCTGAGAGTGCAGTGCGTGGATGTGTGCTCCAGTCGAAATGGCACAGCCCTTGCCAAGCTGTCCGGGGAAACTGTCCTGCAAAATTTTCCAGGCTCCCAAGCCATTGGCTGACTCCACCTCAACTGGAGGAAAGGAGCCTCTTGCCAAATGCCTGGCTGCCCCACCCCTTTTTTCCCTCTGAAATGATTAAAATAGTTGGAGAGGAGGCCGACAGCGCTCGCATGCAAGCTCGGGCAGGGCTCACTCACTCCACGCTTTTGGAGGAATGCGGAGAAAAAAGTTCAGACTCTCTCGACAGCCTCTGCTTTTTGCTAAGCTGAAAGGCAAGGGATTCCTCACAGAAATGCCCAGGGGATCCACCAGGGAGGAAAGAGAAATCAAAATGCTCTGGGTAAAACAGCCGGACAGGCGGCTGCTGTTCTGTGCATAACTGGGAATGTTCGAGAGCGGCAGGCTGGAAACAGCTGCCCAGAGGACAAACAGCTGGGATAACCCAGGGACCTCTCTGTCTTCAGCTGGGCCTGCCGGAGCTTTTCAGGTTTCCTTTTAAAGGCACGGAACGGCAACTGTGGGCGCGTGTGGCTCCGGTCACTCAGCGCACCCCGCTGGCTCTGCTGCTCTGTGCCCACAAGCGATGTGTTCACAATAGCAAGCATGTCTCAGGACATACGTTTGTATTTATGTGTGATGAATACACACGGACGAGGAGGAGGATTCTGGCTGTTTTCCGGCACAGTCAGCGAACAGGGTCTTTGTGAACCACCTGACAAAAAGGGTGATGTTTTCCAGTGGTGCACCCAGACAGGAGACATTTCCAGCATCCTCTTCTAATAATCTGGAAACTGATGGAAGCTTCAGAAGAAAAACACTGTAGCGTGCGAGAATCCCTTCTCCCAGCATGAAGCAACAAGGCAGCTTATGAATCGGCTGACAACCTGTTTTGCAAGCGAGTCAGATAAAACTGTTGTCTTAGTCTGCTTCAGGCGCCTCTGGATCGCCCCTTGGCCTCTCCTTGTGACCAGCAATGACTTGTGGGTCCAGATCCCTGCTCAGCTGTGGAGCTTGCTGGGTGGGTCCCTGGGTGCTCAGTGGGCGCAGTGCAGGATTGTATCCGCACCGGGGAGTACCATGTCGACCATAAACCTGCGGGACTTCGAGCTTCAGCTCCAGATTCAGCTTCGGAACTGATCCCGAGGATGATGGGATGGAGCGGGCCTGTAGCTACAGTGGGGCATCTCGGGGCTAGGCCCCCCGATTTACTGGCAAGGCCCCCCAACTTCCCATCCAGCCCAGGGCCCCCGAGTGCCAGCAGGTGCAGAGAAGGCACCAGGTATTCCTGCTCAGCTGTCTGGCACGAAGGGCTTGCTATGGTGGCCCCGTCGAGCCAGACAGCACCTCTCTATTTCCCCCAGGAAGTCTATTTCACTTTAATTAAATTACCTTTAATTCGATTCACCAGTGCCCCCTAAGAAATTTAAATGCCCCCTGACTAAAAAAATCCTGGCGACAGGCCTGGGATGGAGAACGTGTGCTCTGGGTCTCGATTTCGGGTAGGCTGCCATTTGGACTGGCTGTAGAAATAGGTTTGGCGGCCTCCAGGTGAGGCCTGGAGCTCTCCTGGGATTACAAATGGTTTCCAGACTACAGAGAGTGTCCCTTGGAGAAAATGGCAGGTTCGGAGGGTGGAGGCTATGGCATTCTACCCCACTGAGGTCCCCTCCCCTCTTCAAACCCCGCCCTCCCCCCAGGATTCACTCCCGAATCTCCAGGAAGTTCCCAACTCAGAGTCTGTAACCCTACCTAGACCCCTGGCATTCTTCTGGGCAAAGGCTGCGGTCTCGTCCCTCAGAACCAGCAATCCCTGGCTCAAGTTCTTTTATTTTTCATGCACCTTAAGATAAGGGCAACTTTGCCCTGACCTGGATAGGCCAGGCAAGCCTGATCTCATCAGATCTCGGAAGCTAGGCAGGGCCAACTCCGGCAAGTATTTGGAAGGGTGACCTCCAAGGAATACCAGAGGTGGGACGCAGAGGCAGGCTACTCAAACCACCTCTCTGGAAAATGCCCAAGCCCCCAGTCAGGGTCGCCAGAAGTCACCCTGATTTCCAGGCAAGCATACAAAACGCACACACACATGCACACACACACACACAAATATTTTTAAAATAATTAAAAAATAAGGGCAACTTTGGTAACCCCCCCCACTGAACTTTTAAAAGCAACACAGCAAAGCTTTCCTCATCCATCTTAACACGGCACAACATCCAGTGTTTGATTTTTAAATGTCACATATACAAATGTCCAAGGCAGTCTTGTGTAGCACCAGGAATTTACCTGTCATCCCTTTCTCGTAGGATGGCGTACCTCATTTAAACCTGGGGTTCAGCTAGGCAGAAAAACCCTTATTCAGTTGATGGGTCAAATATTATCAAATATGACAAATGTCTATAAAGCGCTGACTTGCCATATAAGAATAAAAAGAATGATGCTAACTGCAAAAAGGAAAAGGAGCCTTCTAGAAGATCCCTAAAGTCCCCAAAAGCTTTACAGAGCACTGTGCTAGGACACACGGAGGCCCCACCACACCACCAGTGGGCACTGCATGATTCCTATTATATATTTAATCCCATCCTTCTATTGGAAAAGGCAATGTCTGGTGTACAAAGAAGAACAGAAGGAGACTCTGAAGGGGGCAGCAGGAAGACAATTAGATAGGATAGTTTCAGGTGGGGCAGCCGTGTTGGTCTGAAGCAGCAGAACAAAGTTTGAGTCCAGTGGCACCTTTAAGACCAACAAAGTTTAATTCTGGGTATGAGTTTTAAACTTTGTTGGTCTTTAAGGTGCCACTGGACTCATACTTTGTTCTATTAGATAAGATAGGAAGACAGCGCCTTCTCTCTCCTGTTACGTGTAATTCCTTGTCTGTCTCCAGATTGCTACTCTTAGGGCAATTTCCTCCTTCTTCTCGGAAGTCCTTCAGTCAGTCTTCCCCTCCCTCTCAGCTAGAGGTGTAGTTAGGAGCCTCTCTCTCCTCTTTCCAATCAAGTATGTTAGTTCCTAAATAAACCTTTATCTACTCTTTAATCAGGTTGTGCACCATTGCTGTAGGGTTGCCATCCTCCTGATGGGGGCGGGTTTCCCCCCACCAATCTGCTGCTGGCCAGCTGGCCAGGAGCCCCACCCCCACGATGACATCACCCAGAAGTGACGTTATTGAGCCAGGCACATCACACGGGGGATGCTCTAGCATTTGGCTAAAAACTCTTATGGTGACCATAGAGTTTTTGGGCAAATGCTAGAGTGTCCCCTGCACGATGTGCCCGGCATGATGACGTCACTTCTGGGGGACATCATCACGGCGCGTGCCAGAAGTTCCAGGAACCTGGGCTGGAGACTCCACCGACAGCCAGGTAACACCTGGCAACCTTACATCACAGTGTTAATTACTCTGCTGACACCTTCTTCCAAGTAGCTCCTGGTGCTGGATGTGGTTCTCCCCTCTTTCATTTTATCCTCCCCACAACCCTGGCCAGGAGAAAGAGAGCAACAGGTCCAAGATTACCTGGTGAGCTTCCTGGTTGGGTGGGGATTTGAACCCAGTACTCCCCATTTCTAGTTCAGTGCTCTAAGGCAGAGGTCCCCTATATTTTTGAGCCTGTTGGGTGCCTTTGGAATTCTGACACCAGGCGGTGGGCACACATATGAAACGGGTGCTGCAGCTGCAAGAGGCAGGGCCAACCACAAAATGGCAGGAGCAAGGTTACGTGCTGTAGCTCTAACAGTAGCTCTTCAACCGTTCAACCAGAAGCCCTGTTGAACAGAATGCCATTTATCCTGCGCTGCTAATCAGATCTCTAGTGACTAATCAGAAGCCCTGCTGGGCAAAAGCCCAACCTGGCCCCACCCAGGCGGACACCAGGAAAGGTGTTGGTAGCGGCTATGGCCACCATGGGACCCCTGTTCTGAGGAATAGATCACTCATCCCTGGGCACTTTTGACCGGTTCTTCCTCTTGTTTATACATATTCTGATGTGCAGGGTGAGTGACTCAGAGCTAGGGATGCCAGCCTCCGGGTGAGACCTGGAGACCCCGCAGAATTACAACTAATCTCCAGACTACAACTAATCTCCAGAAAACACATGCTTTGGAGGCAATGCTCCCTCTAAGCTGTGGAGTCTTGGGAGCAAAAATTCTACTTTGTGAGCTGCTGACATTAAAGTTGTGAGCCAGCGATTTGGCTCCTGCATAAATTAGTTTGCTCTGGAGCCATCCTTCCTGAGCTAAGACGAAAATGTGTGAGCTGGAGGCTAAAAAACGGTGAGCTAGCTCACACTAACTCAGTTTAGAGGGAACACTGTTTGGAGGATGGACTCTATTGCATTGTACCCCACTGAAGTCCCTGCCCTCTGTCACATTATACTCCACTGAGGCCCCTGTCTTCTGTTGCATTACACCCCACTGAGGTCCAAGCCCATGGCTATGGTGGGGCTTTTGGGGCTCTGCCCTCTTCCTAGGGTTGCCAAGTGTATTCTTCGTCGGGAGCGGGGGGCTCCCGGCCAGTGTCCGGTGCGCGTGCGTGCGCTGCACGCACATCACCCGGAAGTAACGGGAGGACGCCAGGCATGCTGGGGGCGGGGCCACGGCCATACAAGGGGAAACCATGGGGTTTTCCCTTGTATGGCTGTGGCCCTGCCCCCAGCGTGCCCGGCGTGCCTACGTCACTTCCTGGTGACGCGCACGCAGGGGTGGGGTTCCCCCCGGGGCCCGATTCAGCAGCGTCGGAAATTGGGCCTCCAAAGCGGGGGTTTACCTGCCCCCCGCCCCCACTTGGCAGCCCTACCTCTTCCTGAAAGGCACAGCCCCACAAGAATTTCTCCTGAAAATACTTTTTCCAATCAGAATCTGGGGGCTTTATGGTGTTGGGTATGTGTGTGTGTTTTGGGGGGATATGGCCAGCGTTACTTCTAAGCTGAGTCAGTGTGAGCTAGCTCACAGTTTTTTAGCCTCCGGCTCACACACTTTTGTCTTAACTCAGGGAGGATGGCTCCAGAGCAAACTAATTTGTGCAGTAGCCAAATCGCTCCCTCACAACTT